TGAAGTTGGGAAACACTTGTATGGACCCTGTTCATTGTCAACCCAAAATTTATGAGATTAGTGAAATTAAAGAATATAATATTGTAACAAAAGAGTTAATGCACTAAATAAATATGGTAATTCAATAATTTTTATATTATTATCAAATCACTGTTAATTATATGGGATAAATTTATTGATTAATAATAATTTAAAAAATCATATTAATCATTTTTTTAATAATTAATTCTATAATATTATACTGACTCATATTATAATAACATTTTTGCATATTTTTATAAGAAAAATAAAAAAATTGTTTAATTACTACTTATGTAGTACTCTACTAACTTGTAATACCATTTCAATACAATACTTGTGCAAATTAAGAAATAAGTTGCTGAATAAATATTAAAAAAAGTTGATAAAATTGTTTTTCGTTATAATAATTTGTAGAAAATACGTGTTTGTATCTTCTTAATTATTTTTTAAAAAGATAAACACTAGCCTAATTAGTTATCAGATTCTAACCATTTGAGTTTATACTTAGATTTATATGATTAAAGTGAGATGAATAAATAGACTTAATATAATGGATATAAGTAAGAAATAGGTTAGATTAAATTAAAAAAATTGTGACTTATCATATTTATTTTAATCTATAAAACTTATATGAGTTTAACTCAAGTTAGATAAGTTAATGAATCAGTCAAATTTATAAAATAATAAATATTTTTAAAAATAAAATTAGACATGATATTATTTTATTATATATATATATATATATATATATATATATTATAAATTAATCTAATAAATTATTCATTTATTTTATAAATAAATATAAAAATAAGTATATGAAATTTGCTTATTTTATTTATATTTTAAATTAATAAAAATGATAATAAAAATTAATTTTTAATTTTTATTATAAAAATGAATGAATTTTTTTATTATAATTTATATATTAGATTATTATATTTAAAATAAAAAATTATTTGATTAAAAAATTATTTTTTTTATATTTTTTAATTAATTATTTTGATATACACATTAATAAAAAAGATTATTTTCAATAATATCAAAATTAGTTTATTAACTCAGTGACCTAGCATAAGATCAAATTAAGTAAAAAATGATTATTTATTTAAAAATATAAAATAAGTTAGGTTATTAAATTAAGCCATATTATATTTATTTTAAATCACAACTCAACCTAATATAATCCACTAATTTAAGAAGTTAGATGGGCCTGATTCATTAAATTTTTATAATTTAAAATTAAAATATGTTTAAATTATTTATTATGCTATTAGTATAAATGTATTTGTTTTGTGGTTATTGTATGTAAAAGAGACTTGTATTTTTAGTTATTTATGGTAGCATATGATAAATATATAAAGAACTTAAATTTTACATTGCATTAAAAGATTTATAAAATGAAAAGAAACAAAGATAAATAATAGTTTTATCCAGCACAGTAGACGTAGATATTTGGGTGTGTTATGGTTGGAAGGTTGAAAATGTTTCGTAGAGCATTCACATCGATCTATTAGCTATTAGTGCTTGTCGACAACCACAGCATGTTACAATTTTTTTCGTTCTTTCTCATATCCTTTTCCTCTTAAATGCCTTTCTTTAATGGCTTCAGATCTTCTCTTCCTTCCATGTGGTAGAAAATAGAATTTTTATTGATTAAACTCATTAATGAATTACTTTTCAAATTTTTAATAAAATATAATTAATAATAATATATAATAAAGAGTGTGTTATAAAAAATCAAAACTGGATTATCTTAAGATGTACTTCCAAAAATACTTGTCCCCCAAAATTAATGAGCCAACCTGTGAAAATAGAAAAGAATATTTTTTTTTAAAGATGAAAAGTAGGAAAATAAAAAAGGGTCGAGTATTTAAGAGGTGGTGTAGCTACTTTTGTGTCCACATTTGAAGGTTGGAATCCAGAGAAATTATAAGAAGAAGTGGTAACGAGGGTTGAAGGTGTAGAGAGGAAAGAAGGAGAATTGGAGATGGGAAAAGGAGTTGGTGTGAGTGGTTGTGATTTGGTGATGAGGCTTTTGGCCTTCACTCTCACTCTTGCAGCAGCCATTGTTATTGCAGCAGATAAACAGACAAAGGTTGTTCCAATTCAGCTTGTGGACACATTACCACCTTTGTATGTTCCTCTCACTGCTAAGTGGCATCATATGTCTGCCATTCTGTAAGTTCTCTTCTTCTCTTCCTACAATTCTTCTCATGGATGGAGTCTCTTTCTATCACTCTTAATAATATAACTTGCTTTTCTCCTTCAAATTTTATTTAATCTCTATGATTTGTCATAACTTCCTTTTAATTTCTTTCTTCAAACACCTAATACCTGATGTTGTTTTTTTTTTTTTTTACTAATACATGTTGTTAAATTCAAACGATTATTTTAAAACAAAAATAAATACATATTTCGATATTTTATTGTAAAAATATTATGTAATTTGTACTTGTTAGTCACACGAATAAAATTTTTGGATGACACATGCGGTAAAAAAAAATTAAAATAAGTCCTTTTTTTAATTAAAATAATTTTGTGCCAATGATAATATAGTAGATAATAGTCTTAAACAATAAATAATCTTAATTTTTATGTTGTTACAAAAATAATAAGAGAAAAACAAAACGAGGATTAGTGTTAGAGTTTGCTACTATTTTTATCATAGTTTTTTTTTAATTTGTTTTAAAAAATAATTTTCAAAAATTAATAATTAAAAATAAAACTAAATCAAATAAACTCTTATTTTTTTTATCATCATTATATTGTTTAAAATAATTGTTAAAAAGAATTATTATTTTAAATATATATACATTTACAAAGATTTTTTTAAAAGTAAAATAATAAACCTTTCCACACCTTGAATTACCAATGGATGGGTGATGTGTAACTAAAAGTATCAATCTTCAAAGTTAAAATATTCATTGGGTTAGCAATAATAAAGACCAGTAATTACATTTCTTATAGTATAGTAGGTAACTTTAGAAGGTACATAATTAATAAGTGGTGCATGTTTCGTTTTCAAGTTTTGAATTGCATCATTGAAATACAACTACAGTTTTGTCATCTTCATTATTATTAGCAATATGGTGGCTCCAAAGTTAATGCTCTCCTTAATAAAAAGAGAGTTTTCAGAAAAGGGAACAAAATTAGTTGGAATATGCAAATTTAACTTAAAAATTCTTTTAATAAAAATACTAGCTGTAAAGTCTTGTCTAATATTTGCTTTAATTTAATATATCATACTTGACAGCTTCCCATCTGTCATTTTAATGCTCCAATTTATGGTTGCAGTACTAACTGTGACCAATATCATTGACTTTCACTTTTAACAACAGATCCAAGTTAGTATCATATTATCAAGAACATTAATTATACTTTCAAAAATTAATTATAGTAGATTATATAAACTTCAAAGAAAATTTTGACAAAATATGAAAAATTCTAGTAGTTATGTTTATAGATTAACAACAATGTTTTGATGTTGTAGGTATTTTATGGTGACCAATGCAATAGCATGCACGTATGCAGTTTTATCTCTAGTTCTTGCCCTAGTAAATAGAGGTAAAAGCAAAGGCTTGTGGACAGTGATAACTGTTCTGGACGCATTCATGGTGGCTTTGCTCTTTTCCGGCAATGGCGCCGCCGCCGCGGTTGGTGTCCTCGGCTACAAAGGAAACTCTCATGTGAATTGGAACAAAGTCTGCAATGTCTTCGGAAAATTTTGTGATCAAATGGCTGCTTCAATTGGCCTGTCACTGATTGGATCATTGGCATTCCTCTTTCTTCTCATTAAGCCTGTGGTGAGGCTTCAGAGAAGAACTTAGTTAATTAATAAATAATCCGAGTGTTGTTTATTTTCTTAATGTTTATTACGACATGTTAAGTTATTACTGTAATATGTGTGGGAATAACACTAATACCTGTTGTGAGTCCTCATCTCATAGGTTCGGGTCTGTTATGTATAAGACATTTGTTCAGAGCAAAAAAAAATGTTTTTTTAGTTACTGTGGTAGTTTCTTGTAGATCTTAATTTTGATGAAGGTATTTTGTGTAGAAAATTTTGGATTTAAAATGATTTGCTGCAACTTATTTGTCTGAAGATACTCAAAGAAAACATCAATTTTATATATCAGAATGGGTTTAGATTGAAATTTGTGAACCTAATTATGGGCCGTGTGTGGATCTGGATCTGTTCTCCACTTCACCCAGATGATGTGGATCCTAGGAAGTCACACACCAAGCCCAATTTAGGCTATTCAATGATGATATCTATATCCAGAAAGAGAAAGAAACAAGGATATTATGTATGAGGTTGATGATATATGGTAAAAAATGGTAACACCAATGAAATATAAGAAATGGCCATTGTTTTGGTACCATCTTCTTTCAAAACTTTGTTTCCTTGACTTCCCATCCCAAAACAAACTTCTCTTTTCACTTTTATCGTTCATCACTTTGTGGGGTCCATCCTCTGTACCCCCAACGAGTCTGTTATTTGAGTCTTTTCTCTGCTCCATTTTTCCCACTCACACGGTTACTCTGCATGATCATGATATAGGAAGGTGTCACAATCACATGCCCACGGGAATCTAATCAATTACCACTACCTATTTTTGCAACAAATTGTTACACATTATAACACACTTTTACAATCATAGGATGGCACCCTCTATTAGTTTTACTTCAATTGACAAAAATTGCTTCTAGAGTAAGCATTGACAACGACAACAAACAATGCAATGGAAATTAGATTAGGGGGGTGAAAATGTATAAAAATCAAACAATGCAATCATGTAGTGACAGATTAATTCAAATCAAACCAATAATTAACCCAGACCACCCCATTTTTTTCTTTCTCTCAATTTCACTTGAGGAATACAAAACAAAACACAAGCGTTTGGTATATAAACATTAGGGGAATGAGTGAGAGAGAAGAGAGATGATTAAATAAAGTAGCAAGTATATTATTGACCAAGATGCAAGGCCACACTACTGAAAAGGAAACTGAAACTCGCTCTACTATGCCACCACTCTCTCAAATCCCACCTTCTTCTTCTTCACTTCACCCTTCAACCAATGATGAAACGACGGCTGACACCATCTCCAGAAAGCGCGTTAAGAAAATTGGTCATACAAATTGCGAGAGCCTTAACATGGAACGTGAAAGAAGGTCCAAGATGACTCAAATGTTCTCGCAGCTTCGAAACTCTGTCCCTGGTCTCTTACCTCAGGTTCGTCAATGATCATCCAACATTTTATTTCTTGTCAATAATTAATGTTGCACATTAATTTCATGGTTTTTGAGAGTTTTGGTTACGTGGGTTTTGTACATTGATGCCAATATCTGATATTTTTAATTCCACCCTACTAAGTTTTGTGAATGACCCATTTTTGGTGTTATGGGTAATCATAGGCTACAAGGGAAGTGATAATAAACGAGACAATTGGGTACATAAAGGAGCTTGAAAAGACGAAGCAAAGGTTGGAGGAGTTGAAGGAGACGGTAAAAGGAGTAGAAGGGTCGATGGTTGATTGTGGTAACGATAATAGAAATTGTTCAATCACGGTTACTGTCTCCGCTAATGTTGCATTCTTTGGTATTCAATCGGTGCCTCGACCCGGTTTGGTGACTCAAATTTTGAAGGTGTTTTGCAATCACCGAACAGAGATTTTGGCTGCAAATGTGTCGAATAACAATGGGAAATTGATACTGGCAATCACAGCGTTGGTGCAAAAGAATGGAAATGGTATCATTGAAAATATTAAAAGAGAAATTATGCGTTTGTAGGATCATATTCTTGCTCTAAATTACACGGTATTTGATTTTGGTAAACATGTGGAGCTAACCCGCTATGGATCATGATTCGTGTGCTAGCGATGAACATCACCAGCAAAATAATTACTATGGTTCACTGTATTCAAGTGGTTTTTAATTTTTTCTTTTTCTTATTTTTGGTGAAGAAATTGGAGACCGATTTCAGTTGCTTTTGTCCTGGGAAGGAAGACATCAGGATGTTTGTTAAAGAACAAAAGTGATTCATTGTCTAAGAAAAGCATTGTAAAGCATGGGGTGGACCCCGCGGACATATAATATTCCTTGCCTTGTGTTATTTTTCTTCGTTCTAATATGGAGCATTACAAATTTTTAGCACAGAACAAAACGGTTTATGAGTTTTTTAAGTGGAAAATGACAAAATTGATGTTAAATAAATCCACTTTTTTAAAAAATAAAATACGAATGTTTTTATTATTGTTTGAAATTATTTTGTGTACTACTACATTGATAACAAAAATTGTGTCCATGAGAATATATTACTTTTTACATAAGATCCAAAATGTGACAAATTACAATATTTTTTTAATTATTTTCCAGTTTCAAAACTATTGCAATTTCAGTCTTTAAAACTGCTGTATTAACTTATTATTGGATAACATTTAATACAATTATTGTAAAAGTTGATTTACTTATTATTCATAATAAACGTACGAAATCATTTTGTTGTCATCTAGAAAAATATTTTAAAATGTTATGAAATTTCAACTAAATAGATCCCTTAATATGTTTTTTTTTTTCTGGAATTATTTAACTCAAATTATCAAGTAAATGAAATGTGAAAACGTTATTGCCACTTGAACGCATCGGTAAATTACTTTTAAGTCCATCCATTGAATTATCAATGTGAAACAAAGGATTGCTTGGTCATCCCAAAGAGGACACATGCCAGATTACTTTTGTTTCAAGATCATCCACTGATATCCAAATTTTGGTTCTCCAAACACTGACAAAATCCCACTAATATGCTACCAAAAACTTTAGTTGGAGACATAAAATAAGAAATGGTAAGAATGGAAGCAAAGTAATTTAATTTAGTAATTAACTTTTGGTATGATCGCAGAATCGGTATCTATCCAGGGCTAGGAAGCATCCTCGAAAGGAGATACTCAACAAATTCGCTCATTCTGAAACACTGTCATCAAATCCTGAACTCCATGTTACAGTGGAATAGCTTCCTTCCTGTCTAGGTCTTCTAAACTTACATTTGCCTCAAGACCCATGCTCAGCAGCTCACTAACCATGACAAGGATATCAGATTTCAAAGAGGCTGCTAATGCCTGTCAGAAAAGTCAACAAAAGTATAAAACAAATGTAAGAGGTATAGCACAACAAATGAACCAAAATGTCAACAGAAATTTTCTTCACAACCAAGATAGTGGTATACCTTTTTGTCCTCATCTTTTTGATGCTTAATAACTTCTAAAGGCCACTCAGATACAAGCTTCTGAAGTTCACCCTTGATGCCTAACTTTTTCGCATCAGACAAGGTCTAGCAACAGTTGAGTCAAAAAAAGAGTTATTTATTTCATATACAGAACAAGGCAAAGACAAATATGAACGTCTACTCAGTATGCTAACAGTCAATCTAATCCATACAAAACCTTAATCAAAACAAACACAACATAGGTGAACTGTGAAGGATTTAACATCACAAAAGTAATCCAATGCTTCGCACCCAGGTCATACCTACTCGATTAATCATGAATGAAGTTAATCACCAACAATACTAAAGTCATATATCAAATAAACAAGAAACAAAAAAACATTTTACCAAATACAGTCGGATACAGTTCCTTCACTGCCATGTTATTGGAACCAACTTGATTCTGAAGTTCCTTTCTCAAAAGCTATCATTTTAGCAACAATTTGAAATGTGTAATTGTCTAAGCTGATTTTTATTTTAATCAATGTTTTCAGGTAAAATCTTTCAATTTATCTCCCACTGTTTATTTTTCTATTGCAGAGGCATTTTTTCGTTCACTCTTTGGCAAAGAAACTTATATCATGGGAACACGTACAATAACATACAGTCCATACCTGATTTAGAACTTGAATGACGGCAACTGCATCACTGGGTTTACGTTCCAACAGAAGACCCTGTGGAAGTGTAAAATAAAAACAGGCTTATGATTACTTTCTAGTTACTAGGAAACCCGGTATGACTGAACCCATCTACTGGAAAGGGGAAACACACATCAGCATTGTAAGATTAAATGAAGTTTGTAAAATTGGAAAAATTAAGAAACATTCTTCTTTTTTTCAAGAGCAGACAGACTATTTTTAAGACTAATAAATAAAAAATGCCAAAAATATAAAATAAACTTTGTGCAATATGGTAAGTTTTTGCAGGGCACCATATATACCGTCATAACTCATTGAGGTTTTGTGTGATAACTCATACATTGCATATAAACTCTATAACTGCATATAACTAAAACTAATTGTCAAATAAGACAATGGCGTATATAGATTTGGTACCTTGGCACAAGAAAACCCAGTCGTCAAAGTGTGCTGCTTCATTGTATCAGATCTCAACTTTTCTATTTTCCACAATGACTCGGTATCTCCTACAGAGTAATTGAAATAAATAAATGATTAAACAGGTATGGGCAGAAATGATTTTAGAAAGCTCAAAGTATATATTGAAATATCATAATTCTACTTTACGTACTTGAGGTTATTAATATTAAATGAACCTCAGAATTTTTGAAATAGATATAGACACAGAGAGTCAAGACACGATAATTTTTATTTAGCATGATTGCTAAATCATTGATGGTGATATTTGTTAAGGTTCCAACATAAAACCAATTGGCAATATGTGGAGTAGCCTAACATGTATTTAAACCATACCAAATGATATGAGGTAGGCGATGTGGGACTTTCAACACACCCCCTCCAACGAAGCCTGCCGGACCAGGCAAAGGGTACTTTTGACCCAACTAAAGGGCAACTTTTGGCCCATGACAATAACCGGAAAGATGTTAGGCTTTGGCTCTGATACCATGTTAAGGTTCCAACATAAAACCAATTGGCAATATGTGGAGTAGCCTAACATGTATTTAAACCATACCAAATGATATGAGGTAGGCGATGTGGGACTTTCAACAATATTCCATTTGGGACTATTCTACAAGTCCCAGGCAGATGAACACAATCAGTTGATTATCATCCCTCAAATGTCAAATATTTACAGAAGAGTTTCAAATCTACTATGGATATTCGATATGGTTCTTGTATAATGGTTTGATTATATAGGTTTTGTGAACAATCACAGTAGCAGCCAACACTTTATATTGAAAAACTACCTTGGTTATTACTAAACAATCTAGCTCATTTACATATCTAAAACTAACTTCCAACTGTCTATATATAGAAGACTATATTATTAGATCAAAATGTAAGGCTAATAAATAAAGTGGAAGAATTAAAATCATTTGACTAAAACTATGATGTATCCCAGACCCATTAAAAAAGCACCTACCTAACTAGAGGGCATGTATTTGAAGAAAAATTGCGCAAGAACAATTCAAATGCAACCGCTCCAGTAAATAAAAATACCACTGGTAAAGCCAGCTTGTAACATTGATTTTCTCGTTTAATGAAATTACATTCACAGCCTAATCAATGTAGTCTATCTTCTGAGTTTCTTTCAATTCTTTTGAGACCAAGAAACAACAGCTTTGCCACCATAGGAGAATATGAAAGTTAAGTAAGAAAGAAAAATTAAAAATCAGAAGAAACTAGCCAATTTATAAATCTCCATAAATTTTTAGATTTCTTAACAAATGTTAAATAAAGAAATCCACTTCGACAAACTGTTATTGAATCAAAGCTAAAAAATTAGGCTATCAATAAAATTATGAAATAAAAAAGAAAACTCAAATTAGCATACCTCTTTTGGCAGCAAATTGCATCCATGTCTCAAATGAGGTTTGTCGTAGTTTCACACCAGCCTTGACAAACCTTTTTGCATACTTATTAATCAACTCCCAGACATCTGTATTATAACAAATGCTGCAAATGATCAACACAGGTAACAGGTTAGACACATATACAGAAAAGAATGAAAGCATCATAATAAGAAGGTTTAATTCAAATGAGAATAATTCAAGTTTTTTTATTTATTTGCTTTAATTTCATATCTCAATACCAAAGACAACCTTTATAGGTGAGAACAAAGGCTAAGTTCTCTCCTTTTGTCCTGATTTGCGTTACTTTCAGCTTCAAAGAAGGTTTAGGGTACAAATACTTGTTATGATGCATGCCTGCATTTGTGTTCTTGGAAATTTATACAAACCAGCTGTATTTTTAGACTGGTAGCCTCTCACACATAAACAGGCACTAGTTGCCTTCATACAACCAATATATTGGTTTGCGGGACTAACAACAGGATTGGATTTGGAATAAGTATGCCAGCCAGCCACTAAGAGAATAGTTATATTTACTAAATGTATAGTAACAACTTTTGGGGGTAAAATCCAAATTTAGAAGACTACTCTGCAGTGCAAAAACAAAAGTGAAAAAATGTTAGAATTTCAATATACCTGAAAACTATATCTGCTGTCCCTGGTTGCAATGGTAAATCGTTCCTCTTCAGAAGTTTCATTACTTCCACCAACAGCTTAGTATCATTGTGGTCCTTAGCATACACCTGAAGCAAATTGAAATTAACATACCAACTGCAAATGGGAAATATAATCAAAGAATTTAGAACATTAACATATACCAGTAAATGGTGAGCAGATGCAATATTCGGGGTCAACCCATAGACATTATGCTTCCACAAAGCCTTCTTTCCTGCACACACATTTTAGCCGCATAGCCTCAACATTTCATATCTTTGAAGTTCCATAACTTCAAAAACACAAGTGGAGGGACCAGTAAATTGCACATACCAAAATCAAGAGCTCCTGCATGAACACACGCCTTGGCAACTTCACGACAGAGATTGCAATTAAAATTTTCATGAATTCGAAGATTCGACAACCTCTGTTTACAAAATAGGTTAAGAATCATCACCATAAAATTAATAACTTGCGGAAAAAAAAAATAGAAACTAACAAATCTGCGGAGGTTCTCCAGAATGTCGAACAGAAGTCTGATATCGTGTTGGTGTTTGCAATTTGCAATCATTGACCACAACCAAGCATTTGGAGGCATTGATCGTTTAACTTTTACAGAGTTAAGCATTTTGTCGTATAATTCCTTCACATCCTCTGCATTCAAGGTCTAATAATATGAACATTGCATCGGAAAACGAAACCTCAATTTATGTTAAACAGACGAAGGCAGAACCTGAGGGAGCTCCGGAAGAATAAAAAGCCTTCGACAAGACGCAGTGTATCGGATCAGTTGTCACTCGCCGGTAATCGCGTCGCGCGAGCCCTGTCTAATGCAACAACTAAGTATCGCTAAATCGATCGAATAAAACCCCTAATTGAAGAAACGCTTTGGTTTAATTACCTGATAAAGGAGAGAGCGCGGTGGAGAGAGGAGCTCCAGCGGTTCGTAAATAAGGCGAAAGGAAGAGCCGAGAGACTCGGCGAGCATTGGAGACGACTTGCATGGCCGAATGTGAAACAGCCGAGTCACGACTCAGTTGCCAGTTCAAGGGGGCGAACTCGGTAGGTTAAGGAGGAAGATGCTCCACGAGCCCTTTGGGTTCAGGGTTTACGAAACAGGAGAAAGTGAGAGAGAACGCGCTTTGGTGGAACGACCTACACCTTTGTTAACATGGACTCGCATTCGTATTATACATTCCGCTTAGTTGTTGCTAGAATTATTAACCTTTTTTTCTGTCTCAAAGACCAATTCATTATTTGCTTGTCATAATGTATTTATGGTAGGTAATCTCAATTACAAGTTTCTTTGAAAATTTGCCCCATGTCCCAAACCAAAGGAATTTCTATTGCTCGTTAACAAGGACCAATTAATGCCATGTTGTTCTCCTATGAATTCGATGTGCATAATCTATCCACATTGGCATAAATTGGTCTATTTTTTATTTTTAAACCCACAAATTATTTTATCAATCTCAAATGTTTAATATTAAAAAAAGTTGTTTATAAAACAAAATACATATTTAAGGCATAATCCAAAATCTAGTATATATATATATATATAATTAAAATTTTAATATTTTAAATATTTATTTTTAATATATGAGATATATGATATAAGATATCTTATCTCTCCTCAAATTTTATTTATATATTTTATAAAATAGAAGTATAACAAATGAATGTGAAAAATATGAAAATAATTATACTTAAAAATAGTTTAAGGATTAAATTAACTTTTTATGTTTTATATATTTATGAGATTAACACAAATTTATTAAGTGTTTCTTCGTTATTATAGAAAAATTATAAGATTTGTTTTGAAGACAAAATGTATATAATTAAAGCTGCAAACAATTTATAAATATTCAAAATTCACATTAAAAAATACTTTAGATTTGGTGGAATAAAAGTTGAAAAATCAAAGGGAAAATGTGGTATATATTTCTTAAAAAATTTTGATGTGAAGGAGAATAATAAAAATGTAGATGAGAAAACACCTTCTCACATAATTAAATATTATTAGAATGTGAAGTTGATAAAGAAAAAAAAAGAGTGAAAAAAAGCTAAAGTAAATAAAGAGACAATGTGATACAAGAAAGAAAATGATACAACTTAAAAGTAAAAATAAAAAATATTTTTTAAAAAATTGAAATTTAAGATTTAAATATATGTTTTATTATCTTTTTATTAAAATTATGTATTAAGAAACTTTATTATATTTTATTTTTTAAAATATTATTTTGAATGAAAGAAAAATATACTACTAATTTAATTTAGATCACTAAGATTAAGATATTATTAAAAAGAGTTTTTTTTTCTTCAAAAAATAAGTTTAAAATCATCTTATCATTTATTATTTTATAATATAATAATTTAAAATAATAATATATTTTAATTATTAGATTACTAAAAATTAAATAATGAAAATATATTAAAGAAAGAAAATAAATTATTTTGTATAAACATAATTATCGTAAAATAACTTCTTATCAAATTTACTTGGAAATAATTAAAAACTAGATTGAATTAATCCTGTTTAATAATTTTTTTAAAATAAAAGTATTTAAAAAGTTTTAGATATAAGTTAAAAAAGAATTTATTTAACCATAACAGTTTGAATTTTGTTCTAAATTAAAGAAGATAACATCAATTATAAACACTAATAATATAATATAACTATTGACAATAAGATGAATATCGTTAATAATAACAGAAATTACACATTTGTTATTAGTTTTGGTAAATTATAAAATTTGTTTAATAATTTTGCTAAAGTTATTGTTTTTATGTTTATTTTTGAAAATTAAAAAACCAAAAAAAAATATTTTCATAAATAATGCTCCCATCATTTTTTAATATTTTTAAAAATTAATTTCTAAAATTATGAAAAAAAAAAACAAACTAAACAAAACGAATACTAAATAAACAAACCCTAATTCTAATTGTAAGGAGCCCTGGCTGTAATCGATAGTAACCATCTATCATTGAACTAATAATAAAAGCTTTTCAAGTGTTTCAAACACACTCTTAAAGTGATAATTCTAAAAGAAAATGAAAAATCAAATTAACCAATCTAATGTAAATTACCAAAATTGATTTAAAGTTCTATTAAAATTAATCCAATAAAACTACATTTTATTTTTATGATCGAATAAAACATTTTTTAAATTTTAATGAATTACTAACTAAGACAAAAGCTGAACAAGTCCCCCTGTTAAGTCATGACTCTACTCGTATTGCAACAGTGCGATAAATTGCCTGCTTGTAAACTTCATATAATATTAATAGCAGATTGTTAAAGAGAACGTTTTCTTTCATGAAATTGTTATAAAAACTAGCAAAAAGAAAAATAGAGAAACGCATTTAAAAAAAATTGTAATACCAAATGATATTTTAGGGAAGGGTGAACTCAACCTCAAAAAGACGACTATTTCTGCTTTTATGAAATCATGGTTGCGAATAGAATAATCAAAACTAACAATCAATGTGCGAGACAGAACCTACAATGATCAAATATCATCAACCAAATTATAGAGAACCACTATGCCTAACAATGCAATCAATCATCAAGTATCAATAGGGAGAAAAGATTCCCCTATTACAGTATATTATGAAGATGTTGGAGGAAGAAAAAGAACCTGAGATAACTACCTAGGAAACAATACACCAATTATTGTTGGTGCTGAATTTAATCCAATGTGCTAACTTCAATTTTTTCCGAGATACTGTTCACTTTTTGAACCACAAGAACCTGATCATTGAGGAAGAACTGGAGGAGCAATTGCGCGAGTATTATATGAATTGCAATGGCCGCATTTTTGGCCAAGAATGTGGAAGTAAACTTCTGTTGTATCGTTGCAGTCATTACATAGTATCCAAACCTGCAATGGAGCCTTCTTAGTCTTTGGGTAGGTGTATGTTTAGTTATATCGATATATACATGTATAATTAATTGATATGCACAGGAGGATTGTGTATTGATCATTTCAACACAATAGTTACATAATAAAATGGCATATATCATACAGGTAAGTTTTCTCATGAATATCAATGCCATTCTTTTTTTCTATAAAAAGCACCTTCATGGTCAATCAAGTAGGTTTTCCTTTTCCATTCACAGCTGGAGATAAATAGATGCAATTATTAGAAGCAAATCAAAGAATGAAATCTTACCTTCCTGTATCGATAATCTTCAGGCATCATAGTTGCTTCAATCTAATATCACATGAAAATAAAAAAGATCAGAGAGAAATTTTAAGTGAATTGAAGCCTAATAATTTCCTTGACTATATAAAATCTATAAATCAAGTAAAGAGAAGCATTTATGTTCTTTAATTTAAGCAGCTACCTCTTCATCAATTCTCTTCCACGTCCTCGACATGTCCACCACCGACTTAGAGCATATGGGACAGCAATATCTAAGCCACGTACCAAAGCAAGTTACTAACTAAGCAGATCTCATGTTTATAGACTAAAGAATTCTCCAATGTTCAAGGTACTCACTTGTCACGTTTTATCATCTCCTGGTAACATTCTTGGTGCATTGTGTGACCACATTTCATAACAATGGTCTCTTTCAATGAATCAAAAAGGTACTACACAAACATAATAAAGTCCCATCACTAACATATTAATCTGAAGTTTCCAATGACAATAAATTCTGTTTGGCTGAAAACCCAAATCCAGGTAAAAGATGGAAATTAAAAGCACCTCATAACAAATGGGGCAGTGATGCCTCATTGAGTTCTCCACACATAAATGATTATCACGGAGACCAACTGAATAACAAGATCCTGTAGAGCATAGTTCATTATTATAGAAGTCCTTACGCAACAATAAAAACACTGAGCAATTTATTTCGTTTAGCTAACAAAAGAAAAAAATAGTAGTTCCATTCAGTAACTAATGTGACATTTTATTGGATCAGCTGCCAAATTCATACATTTAGAATAATCCACTCTAGAAGGATGCAGGACAAAAGAGGGCGCTGTGTTCAAACTCTACTTTAGCATGCATGAACAAGCATGAAGTAAGAACATGCAGTTCACCATTACCAACCAAAATAAAATCTAATTTTACAGACAATCTGAAACTAACTAATCACATTTAAAAAAAGTATACATCACGGGCTGGATTTGAAATGTGTTATAAGATATTCATAAACCAAAGGTGTCAACATTAAACTTTACCAACTATTATTTGTTAAATGAGTTAAATCTACCTAGTACCATCAAGTTATATACAATAAATAAAACAGTGACAGACTCAGAAGTGAATTGAGACTGCTATTAATATAACCATTTCGGAGCATCACCGAGATTGAGTGGGTGGATGCCGAAGCAACAGTAACTATTCAAAAATGGCAGACTCGGTGACAAAAACTTACCACACTTCTTGCAATGGAAAAAATTTTCTCGTCCACCAACCCTGTTCAAATTTTCATCACTATATTAGTTCACAAGACACAATTTAGGCAAACTTAATTGTGAACACGAGATGTCAGAAGAATATACTCAAACAAACCTGCAGATCCCACAATCATCGCAATGAAACTGTTGTTTCTCTGTCTGCAAATACAAAATGATTAAACACTTCATCGTCAGAAAACAACAACAATTCAGAATCAAAATCCAGGACCATACAACAAGTTCAGTCTAGTCTCCTTCTCTATAAAGTAAGGACCAAAGTAGAAATAGAACAATCACATTCAAAAAGTAAAAAACAATCCAATGCTTCCGATTAATCAGCTTGGCAAAGCATTACATCATCATCAAAGAATTTGCATATGTTGCAGAAATATTCTCCCATTTTGACGCCACAGTTAGTGCAAACTTGAGCAACCTTCAAACGAAACACGAAGTTAAAAAAATGTGAGAAGGGGAAATAAGCAGGAGCTTATCACAACCGTCAGGCAAAAATTAAGTAAATAAACAATCAAAGTTCTAAAGCGAAATTCGATTAAGTTCGTACAGATTGCTCAGTGTCACAAACTGCACAAACAACCTGAAACGACAGAAAGATGTAAAAAGTGCATTAGTTTCACCATCCCCTTTTCATCACTCACACAAAAAAATATAAATATATTAGTACAAAAGAGAGAGAGAGAGAGAGAGAGAGAGAGAGAGAGAGAGAGAGAGAGAGAGTGCAATTGCAAAGAAGCATTATCGTACTTGCTTAACATCTTGGCGAACGAGTTCGTGGCGATCAAGGGGATTCTTCAACAAGTTCTAATTAGGAAAACAAGAGAAACCCGGATGAGATAAGAGCAAAAGGGAAAAATCTTTGAGCTAAAAATAAAAGAAAACGAAGCCGAAATACCGCTTCCTCGTTGTGACAGTGACGGCATCCATAGATCTCGTTGCAGCAGGGGGCACGAATCCCGCATCTTCTCCTGTAATGCCTGCACCTATTATCATCAAGATTGAAACAATGAAAAGTTATGAATATGTTAAAAACATGGAAAATATAGAGGACACAATAGGAATAGCGGAAAAAAAAAATACCCATATCCCATCTTCCCAAAATCAAGGCGTTCGTTGACAGAGCCTTCCATGAGATTGCGTTTGTTTTGTGCGAGACTGAGAAAGGGACGATGAGAGTTTCCTGCTTTGGGAAGTTATGAGATTATGCCGTGATCCTCAAAAGAGGAAAAATTAAAAAAAGGAGCAGTCTCTTTCACAAAAACGCCCCTTTTTTTCAATTTTTAAATGCTGTATAATAATATGAAACAAATGTTTTCTGTGCTCTGGTTTGGAACAGTAATAGAGTGTAGCCACTTGGGATGAGAGAGAGAGGCTATAAGGTGTGTGAATGGCTATGGCATACAACAAGGGTGACTTGAATAGGAGAGAAAGGGATATCACCGCAGGTTCAGCGAATGGGATTCCAGAAAATCAACCCACTCCTCACAGACACTCCTTTATTGTGAGGGATTCTAGGGTATGTTAGGAAACAATATCCCTACCTCAGATTTATTATCATCTAATCAAATATCAAGTTTTTTCTTTTTACTTTTTTTCCCCATTTGCCCTCTGCCCTCATCCTAATTTCTCACCGCAAGTAACACTGTGTCATGGTTAGAGTTAATCATGTTCTTCAGGTTATAGCGCGCAGCATTCCCAGCCAACTCCAAAATTCGATTAGGATGCAATTAAATTGATTTCAACTAGTTTACTCGGCTGTTTGGTTTGGAAAAAATACGGTAGATGGGAGAGTCCATCCTCAAACGACGACAGTTTGAACTTTTCTTCAAATAGCGACGGAAAATTGAAGGCACTGTGATTTTTGCTTCTGATGATCCCTTTGTTTGTTTCCGGTGGTGGTTTACGGTGGTTACAGTGGAGGTGTCACCGTCATAGGATAGCTCTGGTGGTAATGTCTTTGGAGCGACAGCCAAAAGTAGGCATCTGGAGGGAGAGAAGAGACGGGGACAAATTGGGAAAAAGGTGAAAATGGTAAAAATTGTAATTTACTTGATAAATCATGATACATTTACTCTACTAATTATTTAATTAGAAAATCAATTATTTAATTTGTGGTATATCTATATATTTTTTTCATTTCTGACTTTTTTTTTCTCAAGTAGAATTCTATATTGGCCAACTAAAATTTTACAAGTACGGCCATTTTATTTTCAAAATTTTATCACAAAAACAAATTATGAATTTGTTATTCATGCTTTTTAAGTTATAGGAGTACTTTTTATTAAATATTTAAATTTTTTAAAGTTAATTTATTAACATCAAAAAAATGTTTTTCATAACACACATGGAATATATTAAAGTTTTTAGCTCAATATGTATAAATGCATTTTTAAGTGTATTGTCAATAAATGCGTATTTATAATTATAAATTCATGTTTTTATCATCTTTATAATTGGAAGTTAGGGATAGGAGAACTTGTTGAAACTTTATTTTGGGTTTGTTTTTTCTTTTTACTTATAGAAATAGTACAAATTAAAAATAAATAAATAATAGTATACAAATTTAAAAATATTTGTTAGAAAGGTGTTTGGTGAGATTGTGTATCTGGATTTATTTTCGTACTATCTATATGTCATATAATTAAAAAATATAATGATTATTTTTTTCAATAATTAAACTAAATAATTAACTCTAACATACTAGCTCTTATATTGGTAACAGATTATACTTTTTATTAAAATACTTTTTTTCTCAGAATTTATTAGTATAAATAAGATGAACATAAGAGACGGTCAACAAGTAATAATAGAAGATAAAAAAAATTGTTTCATAGTAAGATTTAACTTAATAAAACAATGTTGCCTCGTAAAATATTGCTAATATAAGAACATTGTTCTATAATGTTACCTTATTAGGCTGGTCATTGTTTCTAAGAAAAAAAATGCATGAAAATAAAATATATAATAATAAAATATATCCGAAAAATGTGGATTAAAATATTTACAAACTAATGATAGTTGATCGGTATGATATATAATTAAGTTAATATTTTATCAATAATTACAACTAAGAATAAGGACTTTAACTAGGCCTTAATGGTTTTACTTAGTCCATATTATATAATAATTGTAATTTTGAGAGTTTAAAATGTAAAAAAATATATACATATAATATGTATTTTTAAAATTTTAAATCGTATTATAATATTTTAATATATGGATATATTTTAACAAAATAATAACATTTTTTATTTATTTCTGTTAGATATTGTTGAGATATTATTTGATATTGTTAAGATATTGTTAGATATTGTTAACCACAATATTAAACAATATCTTCTGTTTATTCTGTTACTTTCGATTCTTCTTTTAGTTGTATCTCTCTACTATAAATAGATTATCCTATGTGTGATTTATACACGAGGAGATTAATCTCAAATTCTATTTCTTCTATATTCAACATGGTATCTAGAGCTTAAGGTTATTTTGAAAATTTTTTTCACCTTTGACCAATATTGAAGCCGCCACCACGCCGCTATCGTTGTTGGTTATTTGGTAGTGTGAAAGTGCATGTGCTAGGAAAGTTCGACAAGGAAAAACTTGGTATTTAAACGTGTCCATTAGTGACCCACTCTCTTTCCCGGGAACTTACCCGGTGTCTTGGTTCACGTCGTTGTCACTATCGCCTCCGCCCTTTATGACTTCTTCCGCTCCTTTGGTACTTCCAATTCTGTCAGTACTGCGTCTGATCCTTCCATCTACACTAACTATGTTAATGTGCACTTATCCATTGACAAGTTAACTGACCATAATTATGCCACAAGGTCATCAGACGTCAGATTATGGCTTAAGAGTCAGAAGTATCTTGATCATCTTGCCCTGAAAGCACTTACTCTCACTCCTGGTGAAGAAGACCGTTGGGACACCATTGATGCTCAATTATGTGTGGTTCTCAAGGGTACTCTTGATCATTCGTTAAAACAAATTTTTCGTTCCTACGAAACATGTGCCAAAATCTAGGAACATGCCAAATTATTATACACCAATGATAATCAATGTCTCTATGATGTCTGTTCTAAATTTGTAGATGTTATTGCCTCTAAACATCAAGATTCTATGACTGATTATATGAGAAAAATTCATGCTCTTTTTCATGAGTTCAATGAGTTATTGTCTCCTTCCCCCGACCCTGCCACCGAAATAGGACAACGATCAAAGTTCTTCATGCTAGGGGCATTACACGGACTTGTTGATCAATATTCACATATTCGTGATCAGATTTTGGGTTCTCCAGTTGTCCCCACCTTGACATCGACCTGCTCCACTCTTTTGTGTATATCAGCAAAACTCAACCCTGACACACCTGCTTCTGCATTGGTATCTCACCGTGATGACCGAACTCACCCTCACAAACAGGGAAAAAGGCATCCTAAGTGTGAACATTGTGGCAAGCTAGGTCACAAGATTGACCAGTGTTATGCATTACATGAGTGTGAACATTGTGGCAAACTAGGTCACAAGATTGACAAGTGTTATGCATTACATGGTCGTCCTCCTCGATCTGCTGCAGTTGCTCAAAATGATCTTTCCCCACCTTTATCTGCTAAGGATCCTCCTTCTTCTATTTCATCAGACACACTTGCTATGTTCAACAAATTTCTCAAATGGTATAAGGATCAATAGTCTTCTAGTTCCACTATGTCTGTCGCACACACAGGTACATCTTTTGCTGGTTTGACCCAATCTTCTTCCGGTCCTTGGGTTTTTGATTCAGGAGCCACTGATCATATTACTGGTAACAAATCTTTGTTCTCCTCTTTATCCTCTTCTAATCCTTACCTTTTGTTACACTGGCTGATGGATCTAGAGTATTATCTCATGGTGTTGGAACTGTTAAATTTTTCCCTTCTTTAACCATTGGTAATGTTCTTTATGTCCCTGGGTCTCCTTTGAACCTGTTATCCACCAGTCGTCTAACTCGTTCTCTTGATTGTGTTGTTTCTTTTACCAACAATTTTATGTGTTTATAGGACCGGAGTTCGAAACAGGTGATTGGCACAGGATGTGAGTCTCATGGTCTTTATCATCTTCGTCCCTTTACACATGTTGGTGCAGTTATAGAGTCTCCCTCTCTTCTCCATGCTCAGTTAGGTCATCCAAATCTTGTCAAGTTACAACAACTTGTCTCTGCCTTATCTAAATTGTCTAGTTTGGCATATGAGTCGTGTCAATTAGGCAAGCATAGTCGTACTTCCTTTCCTCGTAGTGTCACACGTGGTGCTTCGTCCCCTTTTGTCGTGGTTCACTTTGACATTTGGGGACTTAGCCGCGTTAAGTCTACTTTAGGTTTTCAATACTTTGTTACTTTTATTGATGATTATTCCAGATGCACTTGGTTATTTTTGATTAAAAATCGTTCTGAATTATTTCATATCTTTCAAACTTTTTTCAATGAAATTCAAACTCAATTCGGTGTTTCTATTAGAGTTTTGTGCAGTGATAATGGTCGTGAATATCTTTCTCATTCTTTTAAACAATTCATGGCTTCTCATGGTATTTTGCATCAAAATTCTTGTGCTTATACACCTCAACAAAATGGTGTAGCTGAACGTAAAAATAGACATCTTATTTAAACAACTCGCACTCTTTTAATTCATGGAGAGGTTCCTCAACATTTTTGGGGTGATGCTCTTCTTACTGCATGTTATCTTGTTAATCGCATGTCATCTTCGGTTTTAGATAATAAAATACCTCATTCCATTTTATTCCCTCGTGAACCACTTCATCCCTTACCTCTAAAAGTTTTTTGGTCTACATGTTTTGTTCATAATTTCAGTTCTGGTCTTGACAAGTTTTTTCCTATATCACATAAATGTGTTTTCTTAGGGTTTACAAGATCACAAAAAGGATACAAATATTTTTCTCCTTCTCTTAACCGTTATTTTGTGTCTGCAGATGTCACCTTTGATGAGTTCTCTTTTTATTTTAAAAGTCAATTTTCACCTCTTTCTCCATCCAATCTTGTCAACACTCCAAGTACATTTAATGTTCTTGTTGTTTGTGACCCTCTAACTGTGTCTTCTTCACCATTAGTTTCTACTCCACAGTCAACTTCTTCTTCACTGCCTCTTTAGGTTTATAGTTGCCGAAACCAATCACAACCACCACCATGTGACTCTACTCAAGTGTCAACTACTCTGTCTCCTCCGGATGTGACACCTGAGTCTGACCTTCCCATTGCCCTCCGAAAAGATATTCGTTCTACACGTAATCTCTTTTCCCATTATATTGGTTTAAGTTATCATCGACTGTCATTACCTTTTTATACATGTCTTTCCTCTCTTTCTTCTGTGACTATTCCAAAAACTATTTGTGAAGCTTTAGCCCATCCTGGTTGGCGTCAGGCCATGTTAGATGAACTAAATGCTCTTCATAATAGTGGAACTTGAGAATTGGTCTCGTTACCGTCTGGGAAATCTGTTGTTGGTTGCAGATGGGTGTTTGCTATCAAAGTTAGACCTGATGGTACTATTGATCGCCTCAAAGTTCGTCTTGTGGCCAAATGTTATACTTAAATTTTTGGGTTGGATTATGGAGATACCTTTTCCCCTGTGGCAAAGATGACTTCTGTTCGTTTATTTATCGCCATGACCGCTCTTCAACAATGACCTCTTTATCAACTAGATGTTAAAAATGTTTTCCTCAATGGTGATTTGCAAGAAGAAATCTATATGGAGCAATCTCTTGCGTTTGTTGCTCAGGGGGAGTCTTCTGGGATAGTATGTCGTCTTCGCAAATCCTTACATGGCCTAAAACAGTCTCCTAGGGCCTGATTTGGAAAGTTTAGCAAGGTTGTTCAACAATTTGGTATGACTCGGTGTGAAGCAGATCACTCTGTCTTTTATCGACACTCAAGTATTGGATGTGTTTACTTGATAGTATATGTTGATGACATCGTTCTTACAGGTAGTGACAACCATGACATCTCTCAGTTGAAACAATATCTCTGTCACCATTTTCAGACCA